TTTTCACTGATGGCGAAAGTATTGCTGTAACTGAATGAGTTTGAGGAATGAGGTGCAAATGACGCACCCGTAAGTTAGTTTAGAATCACATAGGGCTCTCATTTGGTTGCTTCGTGGATTCAAGAGCAGTGAACACGTGCCTAATTTGAATATTTGTTAGCAGATACTGTGTTCATTTGCCCCTATAGTGCTCACCTGTCCTTTGAAGAGTTCCCCTATTCGCCTAAGACCACATGAAAATCTTTGTTCAGCAAGCATTCCTCTTTGCACAGCATAGGATGAGTGGTCGGTAAGCCTTGTTCCACAGCGATCCACATGCAACTAGCATCAACAAAATCCTTTTTACTTTTAAAGGATTGTTTATTTGGCTTTGAAGCACTTACTGCTCGATTCATTCAATTTTCTAAATTCATGCGTTTTTTCTAAGGCCATCCGCTGTTCAAGGTGTTTTATCACCTGTAAACATCATCATAAGATGAAGCACATCATGCGTCTTAAAACTGATGTACTAGTTCTGAAAGTGCTTTGGTAAGTCGCAGACTCGGCGACAGCTGATGTAAAGAAGCTAAATGCTTTTGCAGACTAGATTCATAGGACCTACTTTGCCTAATCTATGTCGTCATAGGAGCAATTGCTCATATTTGAAAACTTTGCATGCATCGGTAGTCATCGACTTCGACTCTACTCGCATTGTTTTCTCCTGTTTACGTTGGTTTCTCGAAGTTTGCTGTCAAGGAAATAATTGTTGTCAGTGGTATGACCACTTCCCTAAACTTCTTACTTTTTAGATGAGTTTATTTGTTAATCCTGGTGAGTAAAGTTGGTGCGAACACGTTTCTTTGAGCTCGTTTCATCAATAGCCTACCCTATGTCAAAGTTGGCTTGTACAACGACTCCCATCTTAACTCTCTCCCTTACAGACATTCCCTACTTTCAAGAGGTGGTCCTGATGGCCATCAACTGTAGCCTTTGTGGTTATCGTAGCAATGAGGTGAAGTCGATCGCAGGCATTGCTGAACGCGGCAAACAATTTCGCTTACTCATTGCGACCGAAGAGGACTTGTCTCGCGACATCCTTAAGTCGGACACGGCCAGTGTCGCACTGCCTGAGCTGGGAATTGATTCGGAGCCAGGCACTTTGGGGGGTCATTTCACAACTATTGAGGGTCTGCTAGTCCTGATCAGAGATAAGGTACGTCCATCAGTCTTGCTATCTCTGAACGCATGTTCAACTTTGCACATGCATCTTTCGAAAGTTGACTTGAGAGTGTATGCTCTAGGCAATCAGTGACCGTTGGAGTGAATGGATGGACCGGTCACTTGCACGAGGCTTCGAATGCATAAGTTGATGGATGATGTACTTTAAACTTGCTGATTTCCTTCTTCGTTCTTGTAGTTAAAATCCATGAATCCGTTGCTGTTCGGTGATAGCGCTGATCAGGAGGAAAGGACACAACAGCTTGCCGTCACT